GCTGTTCGGCGGCACCAAAATGGCCACCGGACCAGCAAAAACATCGCTGGAGGGGTAAGTTTTGGCGCCTATTGGAACGCATTAAACTAAGTTTAATGCGTTCCAATAGGCTTTTCCTGCCCCGTACAGCGATGTTTTCGCATAGCGAAAGTTAATCCGGAACGGATTAACCTCGCTATGCGGGGCACCACTGTAAGACAGAGGTGCTCCTGGTGGCCGATCAAGGAGCAGAGATGCAGCCTGTGCCAGGTGGGGTTACGCTATCTCTTAAAACCCCGGTGCGCTGCTTGGAGGTGTTGCTGGATGCTCAGGTCTCAGCAGTGGCCAGAAGTGGATTTGCACCGTTAAAACGAGCATGCCAGGCTATGTCTCTTTCTTGGGAGATCTGATCTGGCCACTGTCATGCCCGGATTAGTTGCTTCCTGGCTGAATTACTGCAATGTGCTCTATGTGGGGCTACTGGTGGAAAGTATCAGGAAACTTCAATGGGTCCAAAATGCAGCCAGATTGGTGGCTGGGGCTGGTTACACGGATCACATAACCACCCCCCTGTGACAGCAGCTCCACTGGCTGCCAATCCGTTACCAGGCACAATTCAAATTGCTGGTCTTCACCTATAATGCCAAGGCAGACAGTACATTAAGTCCAGGTAACCACGAGTCAGGGACATGGTGGCGCTGCAGGTTAAACCGCAGAAGCCTCTGTGCTGCAAGGTCAGAAGACCAGCCGTCGTAAGATCGGATCCACCCCCATCGCTTTTCCCAGCTCCTGCCAACCTAGCAGTTCAAAAGCATGTAAAAATGTGAATAAATAGGTACCACCTTGGTGGGAAGGTAATGGCATTCCGTGTCTAGCACTGGCCATGTGACCACAGAAGATTGTCTTTGGACAAAACGCTGGCTCTATGGCTTGGAGACAGGGATGAGCAGCGCCCCCTAGTGTCGGACATGACTGGAGTAAATGTCAAGGGGAACTTGTACCTTTACCTTTGCCTAACCACGAGACCAAGCACGGCATATGGAAACTCAGGAGCAGGCGGACGGCAGAGGCGAGTGTGGGGAGATGGTCGGGCAGAAAATGGAAATCCCACACTCCAGCTCACTGTATTCCAACTGAATACAGCAGCTGCAACGGCCGTTGTTGTGTCTGTCTTACTCTCCGGGGATAGTGGTGGAGGCGGCAACACTTGTAGTTGTAATGTTTGTTGCTGTTGCAGCAGAGATAAGAGAATAAAAAGCAGCTGCATCAAGGGAGGGAGGGAAAGGAAAAAAAAGAATAAAGAAAGCCAAAGGAAAGAGACCAAAAATAAAAAGCTGACCCAGCAGGAGGAAAAATAATAAAATCCTGCTATCGGGTCACCATCTAACTACCTGTGTGTGATTTTTAGATGGATTGTTACACATTCTTGCTTTGACTGGATTTTTTAGTACTACTTGTGTTTTCCATTTTTTGTGTTTTCCATTTCTCAAAGTAACTTTATTTTTTCATACGTATTGATCTTTGCCTTAATGTGGCTTATTAATCTTGTAAGATGCCTCTTTGTTCGTAGTTTTAAAATATGGTCTTTTAATGATGTTAACCACCTTTGCGTACTCTTTGTTTTTAGCTTTCAATATTGTCTTTCACTGTTATAAGCTGCCTTGTGTCCTTTTCAAGGAGAAAGGCGGGGTAAAAATCTTTTAAATATAGAATCCCATGGCATGTGTGTTGTCACCTGAGTGAGAGCTTCCTTGGATGGGGTTTATATACCGGTGGTATATTCTGGCATTTAGATTGTGCCCCTCGTTATAAAAACAGCATGTTCTCCTTTCTTTCTGGCCTGTTACGAGACTGACCACATTCATGCCAACTCACTCCATACCCGGTTACAGAAAGGGGAATATTAATATTTTTTTCTTCTCTTGACCATGTGAAATTTTCACAACAGTTGCAATTGAACTTCTTCAATATAATTTTATTTGGAATTTTTAAAAACTACAACAAAAAACAAATTATAATATAACTAATAAACAGGGCTAAAGAGGTAAAAACAACAACAGACTACATACACAGTGCACCCGATCACCAGGACTGTTAGGGAATAATGGCTTAAACCCTTTATTTATTATCTATCTGTCTAGCTTTCTACTTGTTTTTTATACTACCCCATCAGTGTACATCTACTTTGGGCTGTCTATGTAAAATGTAAAAACCCCACAGACACCACATGTAACAATGCATACGGCAGCATGGCAATGAGTAAAAAGGATAGTACAAAAAAAGAGTAAACAAGAAAAGTAAAATACTAATATTAACAGCATCCAGGAGACTCGGTTATAAAAGGCAACTTTAAATAAGTTCAGTTTTCAACAATTTTATGAAGATAAGGAAGGAAGGAGCCTGGTGTATTTCAGTTGATAACTACAGTGGTGCCTCGCAAGACAGGCACTCTTTAACAAAGAATCCGCATTACTACGAGGTTTTTGTGCTCGCAAAACGATGTTTTGAATGGGGGAATTTCACTGCGCGATGATCGGTTCCGTTTCGGGAACCGATTTTCGCTTCCCGACGATCAAAATAGGTGATCATTGGGTTTTCAAAATGGCCGCCGGGTGCTCAAAATGGCTCCCCGCTGTGTTTAATATCCATTTTTTTCTGCACAGGCACCCAAAAATGGCCGCCCCTATGGAGGATCTTCGCTGGACGGTGAGTTCTTAGCCGATTGGAATTCATTAACCAGGTTTTAATGCGTTTCAATGGCTTATTTTCACTTTACGACATTTTCCTTCTACAGCGATTTCACTGGAACGAATTAATGTCGTAATGCAAGGCACCACTGTATTTCAGAGACTTGGGGCCAACAACTGAGAAAGTCCCAATTCCTTATCTTCATCTTTCTCGAGGCAACTCCCTTAGATGTAGCCACTTTTACCACCATGGCTTAAGACGAGTGGGTGAAAAAGGTAGCTGATTTCTGGGAGAGACATCCCAACAAGTATCAAGGTCTTAAACGGTTACGGTCTTCATAAGTCATGACTAGAACCTTGAGTTGAGCACAGGAACTAACCCGGAGTCATTGAAGACATGCTAAGGCTGGGGATACAGGACTGAATTTACGACTCCCAGAAACCAGTCTGGCCACCACATTTTGGACTGTATGGATTTCAAGGGCGGACATATGTAAAGACCATTGTACAGTGGGGTCTTGACTTGAGAACTTAATCCGTATTGGAAGGCGGTTCTCAAGTCAAAAAGTTCTCAGGTCAAATCTGCATTTCTCATAGGAATGCATTGAAAACCATTTGATCCGTATCTGCTCTTTTCCGTCTATAGAAACTAATGGGAAGCTGCTATTCTGCCTTCGACCACTAGAGGGGGATATTTTGTTTCTTTTTT